TATATATATATATATATATATATATATATATGTATCTTTCTCTTTCTTGAGCTGTGGCGTGGGTTGTTTTGTTTTGTTTCCCTCTGCATGTACGTGTGTCGCTGTGTGTGGCTGCGCGCCCGCCGCGGTGGAGTTGCCGCCGCCATTCCCGCTCGGACAGCTCCCTCCTGTTGTTGCTTTCAACCGCAACACAGCGCTCGTTTTTTTCTTCTGTATTTATTTCTCTTACATTTTGTGTTTTCGCCGCACAACACCATAGATCACTGCACGCCTGTCCGTTGTTGTTTGTTCGCCTGTTTTCTTCCGCTCCATAGATGCATGCAATCGATGGCCGAGGCGTCAGGTGAAGTTCACGCGCGCAGAGGAGGGAGGAGAAGGGAAACAGAAACAATTACCAACGTGCGACGGTGTCATTGCACGGGTGTGTCACTCGATGCTGATCTCCACAAATGTCGCCGCTTGTGTTTTTTTTGTTTTCTGTTTTTATCCCCCGTTTGTCGCCTCTGCAGCTTCAGACTTTTTCTCGTCCTAGGCCACGCTTTGTACGCACTCGATTACTATTGTTATTATTGTTTCCGTATTTTGTTTGTTTGTATGTTTTTGTTCCTGGCGGGGGGAGGAGGGGAGGGGGGGACATGAATGTGCGGGCTGCGCGGCTTCGGCCGGTACACAGATGATGTGGTTTCTTCATTGTTTCCTCTCTTTCTTTGGTGCTACTCTAATCTATACGGCGCGATGTGCAGGGGCCAGACCGCAAACCGACCGCTGCCTCACGCTGGTGAAGAGCAAAGAAGAAAGAAACTGCGAGAAAACTCTTCAGCGCACCGACTCGACACACAAATCCCACCCTCCCCACCTCCACGCCCTCACACACACACGTAGGAGCTTCATTTACATTTGCTGTTGTTTTTGGATTATGTCTATTTTCTTACGTTTGATTTATCAACTGAGGAACGAGAGAAGCCATCGCGCGCAATGACGGTAGCGCACCGGCAGACGCTCCACCCACGCCGAAGCACCGCGCACGGCCTTCAATAGAGCAAGAGGGAGGAGAACACCGCTGTGTGAAAAAGGGAAAAAGAGAGACAACGATTGTGTTCTAACAACACAGGAAATCTGCTCGTGTGCACTGCGATGTAAAGTGCAGCATATACACATACGGACCGAGCAGCGCTAGTTTATAAATATATATCTCCCGCGCCAGGAGAGCGCGTAATCGGTGGCTACCTCCTACTTGTGTGTCTCGCAAAAACTACTCGCACACGCACTCCTCGTTTGTTTGTTTGTTTGTTTGTGTTTTGCTTGTTGACATATTATTCGTGTTGGTGTGCTCTGTATTCTGTTCTTTTCCTCTCTCTTCATTTCTCTACTTGTACCTCTAGACGGGATCCTTTTCTTTTGTACAAGACTTTCCATTCTTATATAAATATTTATATGTGTGGTTGCGCTTCTGTTTTATGCTCTTTTTCCCCCTTTTGAGTTTTATCTGTTCAATACAAGATAACCAACACGCGTGAAATGCGACCTTGAATGGAGGAAGAAATAGACGACAAAGGAGGGCTACGAGCGGCAGCGGCCTGTCGATGTGTATGCCTTTGCTGCACTGGATAAGTGAGAGAGGCGTCTGCTCGTACGCAACAAGTAAGAAGGGGGCACGCGATGCAGAAGTTTGTTGTTGGCGTGTGTCCGCTGCAGTGTTGTCTTGAAAGAGATAGCGTTGCTCCTTCTCTTCTTTGCTAATATTCTTCTTATTCTTACTCGACGTGCCGGCATGGCTGCGCCGTGATGAGATCATTTTGCTGCGGAATGAAATAAGCCGCCGGCATCGTGTCTCAGAAAAGAGGAAGCCGGCCACGGAAAGAATAATGGCTGCGTTGATGTGCGTGACTTCTTCCTTCCTTCTCCTACGATTGTTTCTTTTTTTTTCTTCCGCTTTCTCTTTCTCCTCTCTCTCTCTTCATTTTCCTTCACCGCTGCAACGGATGTCCTCCGTGCACGGCGTGCTTTCCGTCGATGTCCTCTTCCAAAGGCAGCGAAGTGGTCGGCTCACCTTTTTCTCTTCTCTTTCTTTCTTTCCAGCGAGGTCACTCCCCCCTCGCAGGACTCTCTCTCTCTCTCACACGCACACACAAACACAAACAGCAAGGCAGAAGGCGATCGCTCCGCAGCTATGGTGTACAAGCCCAAGAACAATAAGTGGTCTCGCATGCTCGCCGCGCGCAAGCTGGCTGCGGCAGAGAGACGAAAAGAAGTAGAAGAGCGACACAGCGAGGAAGCAGAGGCAGACGCGGCTTTCGATCGAAGGGACGAAGGCGGTGCGCGCGATGCAGCGGCAACAGCGCACTCGAAGAAAGACGGCGAAGGTCGGCTGAGCGACTCTGCGGATGCACCGACGAGTACGGGCGTTCATCAGAATAGCAGCGGGCCACAGACAGCCGTGTCAATCTACTCGACGGGATCCATTGGGCCGCAAGAACAGTCAGAGAATGATTGCTGCACCGCACACACCGAACACACTCCTCTTCTTACTAGGCTCAACGAGCCTCCCGCCTGCGGTGAGTCAACGTGTGTGCTGCGGGACATCGCTCAGCTCCCTCGTGTCGTGGATGCGTTCTGCGTCCCCTCTCCCTGCTTCGAAGCATCTTTGGAAGGCTTACCTGCCGTGTCTGACGCACCCATATACATCGCTTATACTCTCCAAATGGAGGCATCGGCAGCACGAGAAGCCGCGACCGTGTTTGGTGTGTGGGATGCGCGGTCAGACGGCGGATGTCTGCAGTTGGTCCGTTGGAGTGCAGAAGCCCACCCCGCAGCCGAGCCACCGTTACCGTTGTCGTCAACAACTTCTTCATCGGGACTGCAAGAGTTGGTAATGTACGTCGACGCAGAAGGACGCTGCTTCATGCTGGCGCCCTCCTCCGTCGTCTCTGTTGGGCAGGCAGATATCTCGCAGAAGGGAGAGGAGAGCACCGTCGACCAGAAAATGCGGAGAAGCAACGATGTTGACCAGTCGGTTGATGGTGGTGTAGAAGCCGCTGCTCCTGTGGACGAGGGAAGTCCTTATGCCTATTGGCTCATTCCCGCGTTTCTCAAGGATCACTTCATGGCGTTGCTGCTGGCACAGCGTCGGTGGCACGTCGCAGGAAGCGCCGGTGTGAAGTCTGAGTCGCTGCGCGAGCCGCTGCCATCCTTTGCGGTGCAGCCGCACGCGTCACAGTGGATACTGACCTCCACAGCGGCGGCAGCACACGAGGATCGCGTTGCCCGGTCCGTTGATGAGGCAGCAAGCGTATCCGCTCCACCTGCGCAGCTCGCACCGTCGCCGCCACTCAAGGTCGGTAGAAAGAAAAAGAAGGCAGAGAAACGAAGGCGAGCTGCCACCACCCCTCCCCAGTCCGACCCGGTTATCGTCAACGCAGAGGCAGCTCCTTCGCAAGCTGATGTCTCAGCCACGTACCGCATTCCTTATGTGGTGAAGGTCACGCGTCTAGCCGCCAGCGCAGGCGATGCCTCGACAGACGAAGGAGCCACCTCGTCTCAGCTCATTGCCTCAAGAACGTTTCGCTTGCCGTCCTCTGCGGTCTTTTACGTCGGCAATCGCCTCACACCGTTCCCTCCTGACTACGTGCTGCAAGACGCAAAAAGAGAGAAGGACGGCGACGAAGCACCACGTCAACCGCGATGATCGTCGCGTTCTTCGTCGCATTTCCAGACGCTTTTTCTGGCTGGTGTTTTTGTTTTCTCGCACACAGACCCACTCCCACCCCTCCGGTGCAATAGGTCGGCTTACTGATGCTTTCCGCTGCTACTTTTTTCCCGCTATGAACGCTACTTCAGTTCTCCCACTAAGACATATATATATATGTATTGTACACAGCTGATTGGCGAGAACGCAAATGGAGGTGTGTCGGTGGCGTGGGCGCTTTCACTGCCGCTTCATTTTGCTGGTTATTGGATATGAACGCGCCTGTGCACGAGTACAACGCCGCGCCATCGCTGCCCTCTTTCATACGCGCTCCGCATAGAAGGCTCTCTCAGCATACATAAAAGAAAATCTTGCTTTTCCAGTGTGTGTGCGATCTTGACAGCCTGAGCCCCCGCCATCCATCCCTCTCTTCTTTTGTATTCATCTCGTTGCCACCCCGCTCTTCTCCTACTCCCTTGCTCTCCCCTCGAACACGTCACCCCTTCTACCTTTTAAAGAATCCATTTTGTTTACGCATACGTTAGAGTTATCCTCTTAGCATCCAATACACACATATATATCTATACAGTAAGAAAAAAACCGAACTCGGTTCTTCTGCCTCTTTCCTACTCTTCTCTCTTCACCCCTCTTCTATTCCTCTCAGCACCATGAGCAACGCCTTCAAGGTTCCGGAGAAGCGTGAGGAGCTCGTCTACACGGCCAAGATTGCCGAGCAGTGCGAGCGCCACGACGAAATTCTCTTCTGCATGAAGCGTGTGGTGAAGATGAATCCTAAGCTGTCGAGCGAGGAGCGCAACTTGCTCTCCGCCGCCTACAAGTACATCATCAGCGCCCGCCGTGCGTGCTGGCGCAGCATGAGCTCCATGGCGCACAAGGAGGACAGCCACAAGGGCAAGACGGCCAGCCTCTTCAACGCCTTCCAGCAGCAGGTGGAGAAGGAGCTGGCGGAGATCTGCTCTGACATACTCGAGCTGCTCGACAAGTACCTCATCCCGGCCGCGGACAACGACGAGAGCAAGGTATACTACTACAAGCTGAAGGGCGACTACCACCGCTACTTCGCCGAGGTCGAGACCGGGTCGGAGACGCAGAAGAATCTGGCGCTGGAGGCGTACAAGAAGGCCTCGGAGTTCACCGCATCGCTGAAGCCGACCTCGCCGATTCGTCTCGGCCTGGCGCTGAACTTCTCCGTCTTTTACTACGAGATCCTGCGCAGCCCGGACAAGGGTTGCCAGCTGGCCCGCCAGGCCTTCGAGGAGGCCCTCAGCGACCCGGAGGTGTTGGACGAGGAGCAGCACAAGGAGTCCGCCCTCATTATGCAACTTCTCCGCGACAACCTCGCGCTGTGGACGGAAGACTCTCGCCCGGAAGGCCAGGACGATGGCACCGCCATGGAGGAGCTCGAGTAACAGATATTGCTTTAAAGAAAAAACGCACGCGCGGAGTGAGGCGAAAGAGCAGAAGAGGGATTACATGGAAACCGTGCGGCGGGCATGGCGCATCGCGGTGTTTCTTCCGTTATCCGTAGAATGGGAGGAGGGGGGTTGCCTTGACCATTCACCGCACCCGAGAGACACGCACGTGTGTGATGGCCGCTGGTGGGTTGCTGTTTTTGTTTTCTATATATTCCTCCTTTCTTCTGCTGATGGTGCTGGCGACCGTGTGTGTGTGTTTCTTTCTTGTCTTTTAGCGTTCATTCTCCCTCCCCCCGCCCCCTCCCCTCCTTTGCTGTTTATACGCTACTCATGTTTCTTTGGTTTTTCTCTTCTTTCTTCCTTTCATCGCTGTATCACGTAATCCTTTTACTTAGGGGGGAAGGAAAGTGTGTGGTGTGGGGGGAAGGGGGATGGGTGGGTGAAGGGTGTTCTTTCCTTTCCTTTTTCATGTTAGATATGTCTCATCGCAGTTAGCGCATTGATTATTTCTATTTCTGATGTTGTCGATCCTGTCGGAAGGAGTGCACGCTGCGTGGATAGGCAAGTGGAAGGTGTGCGTGTGCGTGTGCGTGTGCGTGTCTCTGCTGGCGGCCTCTCTTCGCACACCACCTGCCGTCCATTTTTTTCTTCTTGCGTCTGGTGGTACGCCTTTGCGTTTTTTCTTTTCCCCCTCTGTGGTTGTTGCTCGTTCGCTCTTCTCTTGATTGTCGCCTCTCTTTCGAGCTCGGTCACGAAGGTAAAGCCGCATCGTTTTCTTGCTGAAAAGGGAGGAGGAGTACACACACATGTATATATATATATATATATATATATATATATAGAA